GGTTTCTCCAAGATCCTTGCTTGTGATGTAGCAGAGACGGGCCTTGTTGATGTAATGTTTCCTCTGCCAGCCCTCAGAGACAGTACCCTCAACACAGATGAAAAACAGGAAAAGTGTTTTTTGGGTTTTGTCATAGACCGGGCAGGGGTTCATAGAACGGTGACCTTCAAGATGTGCCTCTTCCAACAGTTTGAAGTCCGACCACTAGAGAGGATGTTATTCAGAGATGTGTAAGTAAAATATAAGAATTTGTATGTGGGTTAAAGCAATACTATATATTCACAAGTAATTCAGAGATGAAACAATTATTTGGCATAATTACCTCAATCGTCCTCACATCAGAGATTTTATCTTTCTTCAGTTTTCCTTTTTTCATAACCAGGTTTTTTGCACTGCTATCATCTTCAGACCTCCTCTGCTCTGCAAAGGCTAGAAGAGTTTTGCTTTCTGTCTCGAACAAAAGAGCAGGAATCCTGTAAACCCAAGATTCAAAAAGAGTTTCTTTCTGTGGTTTTACGTCCTTTAAAGCTATGTTCGACATGGTTGGTGTAAAATTATCAAACAGCAGATGACAAAGAAAGACTTGCTGCTCTATCTCTGCAAATATTGCCTGCAGAGGGTTTTTATAGGACTGTGTGATGGTGCTGTTTGTGAATGAGGGAGGAGCCTTTTATCACAATCTTAACCTCATTGTTCATTTTTGAAGAAGTAACTCAATTTTTAAAAAAGGGAATTGAACCGATTCTTCTTACTTGGTGTACTTGCTGATATTCACTTTTAGTCAGCCTCAGTTGTCCGTACTGGTATATATGTTTATTTCTAACACAAATTTGATATCAGGTTCACATGGGAAAGTAAAATCATTGTAGTATCAGACTAATAAAGGGCTTTTCTTTATTACACAAGGTCAAAGAGATTAACATGCACAGGTAAATGAACATAAAAACAAAAGCAAAACAACAAGAAAAGAAAGAAGAAGGGGGAAATGAAAGGCTTCCCGTTATAAAGTGTTATTTTTAGATTATACATGCTTCAAAAACCCTTTCAAACATCCAAATGTTTAATTGTTGTCTCTTTGTAGCACTGAATATATATATACATAATGATTATATTGTTCAGATATTTTCCTTCCACATCATCACAAGCTTTATGGTTGAAGAACAACTAAACTTTTTTTGTATAAGATTCATTTTTCAACTTTAATCCAAAACAATGCCACTTCCTTACACTACCAAATAAGATAAATATCTGACTCCTCTTGATCTTCACATAATCTACATAAGCCACACTGTTAAATATCCAGTTTATTAAACATTTTCCTGGCATGTATCTGTACATGTGGAAATCAGAGTCATTAAAGGTAGTTGTGTAGATGCTCGCAAAAGTTTTGATGATACAGGTAATGAAATATTATTTGTGCCCAATTTCACCTTAAAAATATTCCACTGTTTTGGATTTTTTGGTTAAGACATTTTTCCTTCTTTTGACACATATTTCATCCAATCTTCACCAAATTCACGACATATATTTACCGAACAAGACTTATCGGTTTGTGTTTAGGAATCACTTACAGTCTGTCTTGTTACTGGTTACCGAACTGAAGGTGCGATGCACTTAATGGGCCATAGCTCTTCAATGCTGAATTGGATTGCAACCAAATTTGGGAATGTTGTACATAAAGCCACACTGCTCACGTGTTTAACATTTCATACAATTCTACTGACTGGGCTCACTACAGTAACAACATTTATGTCTTGAAAACTTGGTACAAATTTTCTCCATAAGCATGTGCGCAACATAAAGAAGCATGGCACAGATAGCTACACCTTGTGGCCATCAATAAAACCGCACCATATCCATTGATTTGATTTGATTTGATTTGATTCAACTTTATTGTCATTGCAAGTACAGGTACAAAACAACGAAATTCAGTTAGCATCAACCAGAAGTGCAAAGTAGTAAAGTGCAGAGTAATTTACAAATGTACAGAAATATGTAAAGAAAAAGTAATAATAACATTATAGATATACGAATGAACATACTGGCAAGATATTTACATTATGAACAGTATTAACAGGATAGATATATATGGTAATAAGTCAATAATATGGAAATATGTTAACGCAACCGTGTTATTCAATTACCACCATTTTTGGGTGGTATCTTCAGTGGATCATGAACACTCCTTTCAGAAGCTGGGCTGGCGAACAGTGGTAACGGAGGCAACAGCAGATGCAGCAATGACATGCATTTTCTAAAATGAACATGTTCTAGTTAGACGTATGTAATGCTATATTATATTGGACATAGCCTTTATAATCGTGAGACAAACACAGAGACCAGAGGACAATAGTTTTATTTTGCCTTTATTTAACATAGTTTCACTTTTTGTTTGTGTCAAACCACATCAGGTGACATCTGGTTGTTACTTCACACATCCCTCGTAGCCTGGATGTTCTCCACAGCCCTTTGGCATTCATAGGTAGTGATACATACCTTAAATGCTTCCTGGACACTCTACTCCTATATCAGTTAAGACATGCTATTTGACCCCAGTACCAGGCTGAAAGCCAATCACATTGCATCTTTGTCACTATTTGACCCTTATTAGACTTTCTTAGAAGTTAACTTGCAACACATTACAACAGAACTGTACCTTGAACTGAAGTGAAACCAATTTTTAATTCCCACTCTAAAAATACTTCTTAGACTTTCTTAGAAGTTAACTTGTAACACATTACAACAGAACAGAGCATGTGATCGGAGTGAACTGGGAGGGAGCGAAGAGCATGAGTGAAAGGATTTTGGATCGAGCACAGAGTGGATTTTTAAAAGTTGCTAGGGATCTATTTATTAATGAGTAACTCATATTCAGATTTGATAAAATAGCTAATGATTAGTAAATTAAAAAACGAGTGCAGAACAAATCAGGAACAACTTGATAACTGCATACTTGTGGTTCCTATAGTCTCCAAAAGTCGAATCGGAGCCAGAGCCTTCAGCTCCGAATCAGCTTCCAGTGTCGGTTCTAAGACAGACACCCTCTCCATGTTTAAGAGTAGGTTTAAGATGTTCCTCTTTGACAAAGCTTATAGTTAGAGCTAACTCAGGTTAGAGTTTCTGTGCTTTCTCGTTCTCATTGATTGTGGTTGTGCCATCTGCCGTGGTCCTGCTTGATGCCCACTTTTAATGTTGTTATTATTATTATCATTATTATTAATTATTCAAAATAATTAAACACATTTGTCTTTTGTGACACATTGATGTTGAAACTGGCTTTTAGCCAGTTGAAAAGAGGTTAAAAAGACCTTTCCTGAATATCACCCAGTTTTGAAATCCCGGTTGGTGTTCACTGAGGTATCAGCTGCTTCCTTCATGCTTCACCACCAGTGACTCATTCATAAACTGTTTGGTTACCAGCTGACATCCAGTCACATTCATATGTACTGTATGTACATCATAACCCATCAGCCTCACCACCAATGGTCTTTAAACTAGAACTGGCTACAGGGCCCCTCTACAAGATTGTGCTTTCAGATCAGGTACTAACGCAGGACAAAGCTTAAGGCCTTTATCTGTTTTTGTGCCATTTTCACAAACAGAGTTGCAGTTATTTAAATACCACTAACCAGCTGCCACAAAGTGAATATAGTTGTGATTAAGAGGGACAACCCAACCTGTTTATCCACTGAAAAAAGGAAAAGAAGTTTCCTATTTGTTTCTATCAGTAAAACATTTTCCCTTCACTGATAAGTTAACTGTGAAGGGAGTTTTTACATTTTATAGAAAATCCCATTCTTTTGCCAAAACATTCTGGGAAATACGCTTGTTTTTTTTTCTTCCCCAGAGCTGGATGAGAAGATCAACACCACTTTCATGTCTCATGAAGTAAGGAGCTAGAACCAGGAGACAGTTAGCTTAGCTTAGCATAAAGACTGGGAGAAAGGGGTAAAACAGCTAGCCAGTACTAAAAAATCTACTACCTCTAAGATCACAAAATAACACTTTGTTTAATCTGTACTCAGAAATTTAAAAACCAAAAGTTGTAATTTTACTGGGAGTTGCATGCCATAATTATTTCTTGGCATACAGCACAGAGACTTTCTGGAGACGTGTCACTATGAGGTTGCTGCCCTCATTTTTGTAATACAGTTACAAGAAAAATATACCAGTTACGTTAGTAACCTTTAACTCCAGTTTCTATAGGTGTAGCCATCAAAGCTGTGGCTACTGGTTCCATTAACTAGCTGAAGTAAAAGCTGTTAGTGTGAGCCGATTGTCCAGTTTCAGTCCAACTTACACACAAGGTGAGGCTGAAGTGGGGCTCATGTGATATGTGGGTGTAGACTAAAAGTCAAGGAATGAACCCATAGTATTGGAGTGCTGCCCCTATACTCATAAATCATAGGTCATCATAGAATCTGGAATTGCAGCGCAACTTGACCAACCAACTTTATCAGTCACTCAGTAAGTCACAGACTTTCACGTTTATAGTGCAGCTCCTCGCTTTGCTGCAGTCCATCCAAAAAGAAAAACAATATTATGGAAGCTTTTTGCTTGGTGGTGAAGAAAATGATTGTACTTCTGGCCAATCTTCACTTTGATAAACAATGAAAATCACACTCAGGCATTGAACCTGGGTCGCTGCAGTAAGGACTTAACCTTAGCACATTGGGTGTGAGCTCTACCAAGTGATCTACTAGTAGCTACTGATACCCAGTAATATGTTTACTTCTCCAACACAAATCTGATGTCAGAGAAGATTCTAGTAACGGGTTTATATCGGACTATCATTGTAGTATCAGAGTGATCACAACTGTCCCAACTGAAATGTCTCGTACGTCATTTAAGATGGCCATTAGAAAAGTAATAGTGACACAATGTTCAATGTTCAATAAGTTCATAAGTGCTACGATGGCTGGTCATTTTTTGTTGGTGTAACTAATGCAAAAAATTCTATTTAAAAACATAGACATAGAACAGAATCACAGAAAAGACAATTTATTTGTTAAAATCCTTTAACTTTATTTTTAATTTTTTACATTTAATAAACAACTTAAAGAGCATTGTTTAAACATCAGAAATATAAAATGTTAGAAAAGTATAACACATAATTAATGTTTTTTTTACAGTTAAAATCAAATCAAACAAAAGCAATCATTTTAGTGGATAGTGTGAGTAATTGTAACTTTCATTGTGAGTTATTTTCCATATATTTAGTAGTTGTAAATTGGATTTCAGTGCAATAGCATTACTTATAGAACACAACAGGTTACTTTACTTTTGTCTCATATGAGGAAAACAAAACATAATTTGTGGTTTATCTGCAGAAAAAACAATAAACTTCACAGTGCTCTCTTTGACTTTACTGTAGTTAAGAACCCCCCCCCCCCATTATCATTAGCATATTATCATACATTTTCAAGGTTGGTTTTATAATCTCAGCATCTTAAAGTCGGGTGTATTTCCAGAGCTCTTAATCATTTTAGGTGAATAGTCCCATACAAGGATTTACCATAGAGAGAAGGCTTCACCTCAGTTAAAGGCAATGATTTCACATTTGTTTACTCTCCAATGCCCTGGTTGACTTTGTTGTAGCTAAAAACTACAGAGGCTATCTGCTCAGTTTCTTTCTTCTCCCCACACTCCATTAGACATACAAACCAGCCATCACCAATGTAAGCCAGGTCTGAGTAACCACTGGGTCCTTCGTTGATGATCCAGGGTTTGCTCCATGCATTTGGATCACCTGGGGATTTATTCAGATACACTCCTAACTTAGTCCTTTTGGATTTATCACTTGGGTGGGTGAAGAGCAGCCACTTGTTTTTGTTCTGGCTTGGATCGTCACCTGCACCTTCATTTTGAGCTGGAAAGGAAACGACACTTCCCTGACAACCTGAACCTGTTTCCACAAGTTTTTCAGCACTGCTCAGAATAGAAAAATCTTTTCCTGTACTTTCACTGACAGCTTCTTCACGGTGGCCTCCCCTTGTACGAGCATTGCAGTAGATGAAACTCTTGTCTTTATCATCAAAAAACTCTGCCATTTCACACTCAATTGACTCCTTTTGAAGCATTTTTCCAAACTTCCATGTTTGACCAGAATCATCACTATACAGGGGAAGGGCATATGGAGCATTGCACTTGCACTTGTCACAGGAGAGACATGAGCTGCAGGAAGAAGTATAAGCATAAGTTGGAACAATCAATCTACCACTCTCTGTTTGAAGACCATGGCCTGGCCCAACAGCAAATGTGGCCCAGGTTTTTATTTCACCCAGTTGGTCAGTCAAATCAGTCAATCTGCTCCAGGTTTCTCCAAGATCCTTGCTTGTGATGTAGCAGAGATGGGCCTTGTTGGTGTAATGTTTCCTCTGCCAGCCCTCAGAGACAGTACCCTCAACACAGATGAAAAACAGGAAAAGTGTTTTTTGGGTTTTGTCATAGACCGGGCAGGGGTTCATAGAACGGTGACCTTCAAAACGTGCCTTATTCAATGGTTTGAAGTCTGACCACTAGAAAGGATGTAATTCAAAGATGTGTAAGTAAAACAAGACAGTACTGGTGTGGTTTAAAGCAAAACTGTATATTCACAAGTAATTCAGAGATGAAACAATCATTTGGCATAATTACCTCAATCGTCCTCACATCAGAGATTTTATCCTTCTTCAGTTTTCCTTTTTTCACAACCAAGTTTTTTGCATTGCTATCGTCTTCAGACCTCCTCTGCTCTGCAAAGGCTAGAAGAGTTTTACTTTCTCTCTCGAACAAAAGAGCAGGAATCCTGTAAACCCAAGATTCAAAAAGAGTTTCTTTCTGTGGTTTTGAATCCCTTAAAGGTTTGTCCATGGTTGGTGTAAAATTATCGTAAAACAGATGAGAAAAGAAGACTTGTTTATCTCTGCAAATATTTCCTGCTGAGAGTAAGACTGCGTGTTGCAGTTTCTTAGTGAGGGAGGAGTCTTTATTCTTCGTTACAGCCAAAACCTCCTCGTTCATGTCTAAAGAAGTAACTCATTAAATAATACATAGTATAGGGTAGGGCTGTATTATTGATCAAATATTACTCTTGATCACAATTATGGCTTGCCACAATTAATTAACGTGATCGTCAACGATATTGTTGTTTAAAATACATGATCGGCTCAAAAAAACTGATGTATTAAGTTACTGCTAACTAAATCCGAACATTTCCTGCAGCTGCAACTTCACATTAAAAGCATTTGGCTGACGAAACACGAGTTGAGTTTTATTATGAAGTAAACTAATCACAGGAAGTGCAATGTGTCAGAGATCTTGATACTGTTTGCCAACGTTCAACAAAAATGCGTCTACAAAACAACGGAAAACAACATTTGGACATCGGACCAGTTGTAAATATGTCAGGGAGTGATGGGACAAGAAGGAGCAGCCATGGGGAGCTGCACCTTACACCTCTGTAATCAATAATCGATCTCAGTATTGATCAAAATAATAATAATACGTGATTATCACTTCCTTGCTGAAGCAGAACCAAAACAAACAACCATAACACGTTTGGTTATTAATTGACCAGGAGGAGGTTTAGTCAGACTTTGATCACATTCGTTTTCTAGTTCATTATTAGCTATCCTAGATTAATATATCGATAACTGATTATGAATCATTGACTATATTAATCAGTTTGGACACTGGCCAAATTTAGTTGATAACATATCTCATCGTCATTTTAGGTCATTAAAGCCATTTTCTACAATTAAATTCTTTAGACTTTAGACAGAAACACTTTATGTTGAATAAATTAGCGATGTGGTGTTAATGAATGACTTCTCACCTGCCACAAATACCAACCTAATAGGAGTCACTGTTGTATTTCCATTGAAAACAGGAGTAGTACTGCCTTTCTGCTATGCGATTGATATTTGTACCCAAGGGTAAATGTAAAGTGTCACAGCAGCAGTACATGAATAAACATATAATGGCACAAAAACAATGTCAAACACATTCAAAAATCCTGTTTTATTGTTTGAATTTGATCAAATAAAAACACAAACTCTGTCAGGAGCTTTGTTTAAATTAACAGAAGTATACAATGTTAGTACAGAATCACGTAGAAACAATATGGTTGTTACAGCTGAAATCAAAACAGAATAAATAATATTAATGGGTAGTGTATTATAACTTTGATTCTATCAATGTCAATCCAACATGTAATATATTAAGTAGTCAGTGCAATAGTATTACTTATAGAACACAACAGGTTACTCATTTGAGGAAAACGAAATATAATTTGTGGTGACTCTGCAGAAAAAAGTTGTCTTTTTACTTTCCTGTGCTCTCTTTGACTTCATTGTAGCTAAAAATCTTAAAACCTATGTGATCAGTTTCACAATGCCTTCCACACTCCATTAGCATTAGCATATTATCATACATTTTCAAGGTTGGTTATATAATCTCAGCATCTTAAAGTCAGGTGCATTTGTAGGGTCTTTAATCGTTTTACAAGGATTAACCAGAGAGAGAAGGCTTCAGCACAGATAAAGGTAATGATTTATTTTTTCTTTACAATGCCCTGGTTGACTTCGTTGTAGCTAAAAACTATAGAGGCTATCTGCTCAATTTCTTTCTGCTCCCCACGCTCCATTAGACATGCAAACCAACCATCACCAATGTAAGCCAGATCTGAGTAACCACTGGGTCCTTTGTTGATGATCCAGGGTTTGCTCCATGCTTTTGGATCACTCGGGGATTTATTCAGATACACTCCTAAATTAATCCTACTGGATTTATCACTTGGGTGGGTGAAGAGCAGCCACTTGTTTGGTAAATGTTCACCGTGAGCTGGAAAGGAGACCACACTTCCCTGACAGCCTGAACCTGTTTCCGCAAGGGTTTTGGGAAACAGAGTGTTCATATCAAGAGCTTCCACTCGATAGCCTCCATCACTACGTGCATTGCAGTAGATGCCATCAGAAACCTCTGCCATTTGACATTCATTTGATTTTGTTTGAAGCATATTGCTAAATTGCCAATTATTGCCCATATCATCGCTATACAGATAGAGTGCATATGAGCGGAAGAGAGAAGTAAAAGCATAAAGTGGGACAATCAATCTACCACTCTCTGTTTGGAGACCATGGCCTGGCCCAACAGCAAATGTGGACCAGTTTTTAATTTCACCCAGTTTGGTTGTCAAATCAGTCACACTGCTCCAACTTTGGCCAGCATCTATAGTTGTAACATAGCAGAGACGGGCCTTGTTGCAGCCCCAGAATCTCTGCCAGCACTCTGAGACAGTGCCCTCAACACAGATGAAAAAAAGGAACAGTTTTTTGCTTCTTTTCTCATACACTGGGCAGGGGTTCATTGGACGGTAGCCATGAAGATGTGCCTCCTTCACCAGTTTGAGTTCAGACCACTAGAAAGAATATTGTTCAGAGATGTGAAAATTTACAAAAACAGTTTTGATGCAGTTGAAAGCTGAACTATATATGCACAAGTAATTAACAATTAAAAAATTGCTTGGAATGATTACCTCAATTGTCCTCACACTGGAGGATTCCTCTATCTTCAACGTTCCTGTTTTCATTACCAGATTTTTTGAACTTGTATCATCTGCGGTCCTCCTCTGCTCTGCAAAGGCCATAAAGATTTGTTTGTCATTGGCATAGAAAAGAGCAGGAATCCTGTAAACTTCTTTCTCTTTGGAATAAAAGACAATTTTCTTCCTTTCCTGTTGTTGTTGACTTGAGGGTTTGTTCCCCATGGTTGTCTGTGGTCTCTGCGTATACTGATTATATAGCGTATCAGAAAGTAAGACATGCACTGTGTTGTGCGCTGTGTGAATGAGGATGGACTCTTTTCAAACAAATTGAAAATGATTAACCAAACAGTGATAAAGTAACCTTGTAAAAATAATGCTAATCTATATCCTGGTGGGGTGTAGACCTTCTTCTCTCCGTCTCTTAGTGATGATTAAACAAGAAAAAGACAAAGAAAAGAAAAAACAAGATTAAAACATGACCAAATATGGCTGGGGTATTCCTTTTTGCTCAAAAAGTAGACCTGTAGTCGTCCTGTTGCCACTGTGCCAAAGTGCGCTCCAACAAACAGAGCTCCTGAAACTCTGATAGTACCCCCAGATAAAAAACTGGAACAGTATGTTCTAAGCTAGTCTGAAACTGCTCATATAAATGTGTATTATTCCACACTCTAATGTTGCCATGTTAAAAATCAACAGTTTCTCTTTAATACAAGATCTAATACTATTTGATTGTATTTTACTTTTCATTATATCTGAGCAACAAACTGCATCATCATATGCATCAATAAATGTAGGACTACAGCAAAACAGAGGCAGGATTTCAAGCCACAAATCATAACACAAACTCACTTTTACAAATGATCAATGTGACACATAAGCTGCATGTTCGAGGAATGTCACAGTCTTATAACAGAGGAAACACATTTCTGTGTACCACTTGACATTTGTGCTGGCCCAACAGTAAGTAGGGTCTAGACCAAGGACTGGATTGTAACAAATGAGCGACTTATTACGCCACTTGTTATAACCTTTATTTAATCAGGTAAGAATCAGGGATTCAAGATCTTAGACTTCTAACATGTTTGTCACAGCTTCGTGTGAGTGAGGCAACAGGAATAGTACCCAAATGCAGACAAAGCAGGCAGACTGATTTATGTATTGACCAGATAAAGGTACAAAATCTTATAGAAATCAGTCAGGAAAGGGTCAAAGCCAGGAACACAGTCAAAATTCAATGTCAAAAAGATTAGGTAGGCGTTCAAAGCAGGCAGGTAACAAATCTTAAATTCCAGGTTTCAGATAACAAGCATTAACAACGATCCGTCACTGACTGAGGAAAGAGGCTGGTAGAAGTAGTGCAGGGCTGATGAGGTAAAGTGGAAACAAGTGAGCCAAAAGGTCAGCTGATGGGAATGGCTCAAACGGGTTATTCAAGTCAGGAGCGAGTGGCTGGATGTGGGAGTGAGGTGATCCGGGCAAGAGAAAAAGTAAAAGGTCATCTGGTGTACTGGTAAAGGCAATGACCGGGTTTGGGGAAGTGGGAATGTGGCTGCAGGGAAGGACAGAAAGACTGAATGTGACTTTCAGCAGAAGTATTTTAAAAGGGAGAACAGAAATCAGTTTTCCATAGAAAGTTACATTGTGCCTGTTTTACAAGAACTTCCCATTTCATAATAACAGCTTTAATTTTGAGGTTGGATTCAATTCATGGAAAGGCTTTTTCTTTATTTTCACTTCATGTCCACCCCCATCAACACATTTACTAGTCTGCAAGAACACATTTAAACCATGCTCTACACTAGTCCTGCACAATAATGGCAATGCTGTGCAACATTTACAAATAAAAATGTGACACTGAACCATTAAACAAACAGTGAACAAAGTCTGTTACCGTTTATAGGTGACTGTTCAGGGTTTTCCTTACTGAATCAAGGACAGTAATCAATAATACTGTCTACATATTTAAAAGAGGAGATAGGCTGATTCAGTTTGAGATGTTACAGTCTGCCTTTTATGCAATAGCTTGTTCCTGTTGCATGAGAATGAATGTTGTTTTCTCAGAAATTTAAATCCTTCCCAAGCAATTCAACTTTGTTCAGAAAGTACAACCATTAACATTCACTACTCAGCTACAATACATTTTTAGTTATATCCCATTAGCCAACTTTCTGCACTCACTTAGTTGTATTGGTACAATGTTGGCAGCCACATTTATAATAATGCTTAGTAATGATAGTTTGATAAGTATTTATGAGGTGCAATCTAATCTCATACTTGTTTTCCACTGACTGATAATGGAAACAGAAAAATGTGAATGAGCATTAAAACACAGTGTAGGTGATCACAGAGAGGAGAAGGGGACTTTATTGAGGTTAAATGAGCTGTCATGAAAAACTAGTTTGTGATATGTGTTACAGTTACATACATTCACAAGGGAATTTCACATTTCTGTGACGAGATCTGCTCCAGCAGAAAACAGACCCAGATAGTGGAGCAGGGAAAATAGTGAGACCTGGTGGACAATCACACACACACACACACACACACACACACACACACACACACACACACACACACACACACACACACACTGGCTGTATATTGGGCTGGAGTACAGGCTACGTGCATGAAATGGCCCACTAGAGAAATTATTTTTATATTTTGGAGGTGGGTTACGTTCAATTCTAAAACAGGACTATGTGTAAAATCAACAAGGGAAAGCACTGCATTTTTAAAAACTAGGGCTTCCCCCACCTCAAGACTAAAGATCTTATTTAAATATATAGATTTTAAATGCTCCCTGTTAAATGATAATGAAATCTGAACGTGTCAGAGCAACCAGCAAGGAGACTGAACACTTGGTTAATTTATTTCAATGCAGGGTAACATCACATGAGTCTCGATGTTCAAACGAGTAAAAACTCTTCACATTGACTACCTATTAAGTCGACTATTAGGGGGCAGCCCTTAAAAAACATCTTGGTTTCCTGAATTGTTCCTCTTCTACATACATGTGATTGTTGTATATCTGTAGATTTGTGTAAGTGTAAGACTACTGTATAGAAAATGTCAATAACACATCCACATTATTTGCTATATACTGATGTAAAGGAAAATGTTGAATTGAGTTAAATTGTTCTGAAGTCTTTATGAATAATAATTGTTCTCATCTTGGACGGATATTAACTGCCTTTCAGGCAGTTCAGTCAGGACCACTTTTGTCAAAATAACTTTTATTCCAAAGTAGAATGTTACATTTGGCGGTACGGCTCTGTTCTGGGACCTCCTTGCCCTTCCACGTGCCTACGTGGAAAACCTTAAGGCAGTGAGAGCACACCTCCCTGCCCTTTCATGTGCACAAATGGAAAAGTTTAAGACAAGGACAGCGGCAGCAGAGACCCCCCAGGGTACAGAACAGAGCAAGTGTCATCAGAAAATGACATTGATTAATTAGATACAACATAAAAAGGAGGACCTGGGGTGGAGGTGGGTTGCAAAAAGGCTTGTAGAGGAAGCAGCAGAGATAGGCAGGCTAAAGCAGCTTAAATAAGGCGCCATGAATGATATTTGCCAATTGGATGCTTGAGGGAATCAGCTGAGCTGTCAGCTGACTGTGTATGGTTTCCAATAGGAAGCTTAGGAGGAATTAGCTGAGCCATCAGCTGATGACTAGCTGTGATCATCTGATATAGCTGGAATTGAGAACTGAGCCTGACTTCGTGGCCTGCCTGAACTAACGCTATGCTTAATTTGTGGCAGGCCCCGACTAGATGGGAGAGAAGTTGAGATCTCTTGTAAGAGCTTATCCCTTTAACGCTGTGCTGTACGCTGCACTGTGTGCCACCCTGTGACCCATAAATATCACAAATATCCCCTTTCCTGTCCTCCTCCCATTTCCCTGCTTCTCCTCCCTCCAAACCGCTCTACCCTGCTGCTCTATATCCACTCCTGCCTCCAGTGCTCATAAAAAAGTGGAGCTGACAGGTGCTGGAGACCCAAGCCAGGGATATAAGAGTTGGAGGGATCATTAATGAGCTCTGGCTTGATAACTCTTGAATATTTTTGGATCAAATAAATCTGTACTTTAGATTCTTTCCAAATATATACACATCAACAACTGCCAATAAATTCTATCTGACTGGATTAAACTAGTTTTAGTAGGAGACCTGAATCAGCAAATACAAACAGCTGCGAAGTGTTTTGAAGACACCCGCTAGCCAGACCTAACTTGGGGTCTGGTTAGCTGGAAGGGGAAGTAACAGGGGAAGGAGAAGTAAGACAGAGGCAAGGTCAGAGTCAATAGCAGCTTTGTTATTTTAGTAGAAAACTCAAATATCCTCCTCCACCCACCGCTGAATTAGCCAGCTGTGGATGTGTCTGCTATAGTTGGGAGAAGTTAGGATGGGTGGGATGACTTGGATGTTTTCTGGTGTTGTGTTGACAAGCCCCTATCTGAGCATGCAGCCAAGGACCACCCTGGTCGATTCCCATAAAAGCACACTCCCCTTCGCCCTCGCTCGCTCTTTCCTCTGCTCATATATGAGCTTGTGAACTTCAGTTTTCTTAGTTGGCTGCCTTGCTCTCTTTGTTCATTCTGTCCGTGTGCATCGTGCTGGTGTTTGAAAGTTGTTAATGATGAATCTGGGGCACCTTCAGTTCAACCAGATCGTTATTACCTCACCGTCAAAATAACAATCACTATTGTTCAACCATCTCACATGGAATGGATTATTTTGTGAATGTAGAATATGTACAGTGTTTGGCATCTTGGCTCTGAACTCCGCTCGAGGAAGTACCCAGCAGGGAGTGGGGTAGTGATAATACTAACTCCCCCACAAGGGGAAGGTAGACGCAGAGCCTACAGGTGTATGGAGGACTGAAAGTGCCACAATTAAATAAATAAATACACCATTAAATAATTACTTAAATGTGTCATTAATTAATTAAAATTGGAATTAAATACATAAATGTGATATTAAATGTGTCATTAATTAATTCAAATACCGATTCATTTAATGTAAAATACATATATAATTATTTTACTATTTACATTTACATTTCATGGTCCTGCGTTGCAGTGCTTCATGAATTACTTAAAACTGTCAAACTCACCCATCAAAAGTTGGTAGGCGGAACCTAACGCCTGATTGGTTACCCTGCGCATCAAGCCAAGACAAATCAATTCCAGATAATGGATCGATGCAGAGCTAGTGAACACATTCCAATACACTGGGTGGCGCTATTGGACTACTTCTTATAAATCTGCAGTCACTCTGTGGTCAATATCTTGGTCAGAAAGTGCGGAAATAACTCCAAGAACTTCAATAAGTGCCTCTGCTTTACTCGCTACATGCTCTGGGTCAGCAGCTCCTGCTTCCACATCATCTGCTAAGTCTAAAAAATAAAATAAAGTGTTTAACTTTGAAAAATAAAGTGTAGCTGCAGCTTGAGTTTCCCTTTTTCTTTGTTAACTGTTTCATATCTTGATTAACAGTCTCAACAAATTTTATAAATGAATATCAACACATCTTTACAATTGAACAGTTTCTCT